ACCCACTTGCACAGATTCTCTCAAGCCTCAGCTACCCTGGGCACCACTAGCTTCTAGGGAGGTGCTTGGACCTCATCCTCTGACACCCCATTCCCTAACCTCTGAGATGCAGACCCATCCCCCTCCAAGAGGTCAGTAGCCCAGGTCCTGAACTTCTCCATGCAGCTCCCAAACCAACTGTGGGCTCCAGGATGGAGTGAGTGAGAGGTTGTGGGCCCGACAGGAGGCGGGGGTGTGAAGATGTGGGCCCTGAGCAGGTGAAGTGGTGTGGGCTCCAGGCCCCAATGGCATTAGGGAGATGTGGGCCCCAAGGGGGTGTGGAACCCCATAAGCCACTGAAGCCACCCCAAAGGATGAGACTCCTCTGGTTTCAGGGTCAGTCCTGTCTTACAGGGGCCAGTAGGGGACCTGTCACTTCATCTTGCTCCATCTGCATGGTGCCTTGTGTCTCCTGTCTCTTGTGGGGACACTCCTTGTCACCTACCAAGTTTCATAACAGTGACCAGAGACATCTTCAAACATTCACAGATTCTGAGAGTCGGGACTTTAGTTAGAGGCCCAATTCTGAGTCCTCAGAGAAAAGCGGGCAGCAGGACGCTGGGCAGAAGCAGGCTGAGGGGGTGTACATATGTGTGCCTCATGTTCTAGGGGTGTGCATGTGGGTTTGTGTACATGTGTTTATGTGTGCATGCGCATATGGGTATGTGTTTGGGCGTGTACATGTGCAATGTATGTACATGTGAGTCTGTGGACATATGTATGCATGTTTGTGTATGTGCATGTTTGTGTGTTTACCTGAGTTTTGGTGCATGTGAGTGTGTTTGTGCATGTCTGAGTGTGTGTGCATGTCTGAGTGTGTGTGCATATTTAAGTGTGCATGCATGTGTGTGCATATTTGAGCATGTGCATGCATGTGAGTTTGTGTGTATATGTATACATGTTTGTGCGTGTGCATGTGAGTGTGTGTGGGCATGTCTGAGTGTGTGTGCACGAGTGGGGGGCATGTGAGTGTGTGTGGGTGAGCGTTTGTGGGCATGTGTATGCATGTCTGAGTGTGTGTGCATATGAGTGTGTGTGGGCATGTCTGAGTGTGTGTGGGCATGGGCGTTTGTGGGCATGTGTATGCATGTCTGAATGTCTGAGTGTGTGTGCATGTGAGTGTGTGTATGTCTGAGTGTGTGGGGGCATGTGTATGCATGTCTGAGTGTGTGTGTGTGTGCGCACATGAGTGTGTGTGCATGCATATATTTGCACGTACCTGTGAAGGGACGGGAGAGGCTGGGCTCAAGCAAAGCCCAGAAGTGGGGCCTCCTCACGCAGGATGTGGCTGGACCCTGGTGAGGCCCAGGTCAGAGACGAGCGGTGGGGCCTGCAGAACCTCAGGGTCTACAAGGCAGACAGCTCTCTCTGACATGGCCTGAGAGGACCCATGTCAACAGCAGAAGAATGAGGGGTCCTTCCCTTGAGACAGAGCAGCACTGGGGTGCTGGGGTGGGTGCAGAGGAGGCTGCAGGGCTATGTGGACCAGTCCTCTTTTTCTCACCTTGGAGGCCCCAGCCAGAGTACCTCTGAGGGCTCAGCACTGAGGCCAGCCTCCAAGGCCATGTTGGCCCCACTTCCTTCCATACACCCTCCCACAGCTGATCCAGGAGGCTGTCCCCACCTCATGTGTGTGATGCCTCCACCACATCCCACTGTTGCCATTCTTGACCAAAAGCCTACAGGAAGCCCCTGACCCTGCGGTGGCCACCCCAGGCTCTGTCTCCCTCTCCACAGGGGACCTGGGCCTCTGAATCCTGAGCCCAGGACTGTGAGCACACTGCACCATGCTTCTCAGGGCTCTTCTCGCCTCATCCACCCAGCAAAGGACCAATGAGACCAGTCCCCTCCAGCCTGCATACTCGGAAAGCCCTGTCCTCACACTTCCATGCGTCCCCACTGAGAGCTCCTGGCCCACTCAGCAGCTCCCATGAGCCAGCACCCTCAGAAATGCCCACTGGGCAGGGACAGTTGAGGGGAAAGGAGCCATGGCTAAAGAGGATGAGGACCAGGGGCTCCCACCTCCTCAAGGGACCAGGAGAAACATGGGCCCGGGCATCTTTATGATCTGACAAAGGAAGTCCTGGGGCTGGGGGCCATGGGCAGTGTGGAGGTGCTACCCCTCAGACTCCCACCCTGGACTGAACTGGCCAGTTAAATGCTTTTTTCCATAAAGTGTTTTAGACAATGTTCAATGTTTCCTATTAGAATTAACAAAAGTACAAATGAGAATGTTATACTTTTTAAACAAAATGTTCTCCTGGAGCCAAGTGAACTCACTGTTCTATGACATTCTAGAGTGGGCCCTCCCAAGCCTGTGGTCCTCACAAGCACACACAGCCTGGGGGTCTCCCTTGGAGTAGCTGGGGGCCTAAAATGCCTACCTCTCCGTCAGCCCCAGAGCACTCAACCACAGCACTACCAGAGCTGGACTCTGGATTTTCAATCAGAGCCTACATATGACTTTTCTGAGCAGGAAGCCACTGTCCAGTCCCCAGGAGGAGACACCAGTGCCTGTCACATGGACTGCAGTCAGGAACCAAGAAGACCAGATGATCAGTCCAGTCTCAGAGGTGCCCCAGAGCATTTCAGACCATGGGCGGTCAGTGGTACTGCCCCACGAAGACCTCACAGCCTGGGAGGGTGTGAGCAGGGGATCCCTCACCCACCTGCTTGGGGAGGTATGAGGAGGGAATCTTCCATCCACCTGCCTGGAGGTGGGTGAGCAGGGGACATCCTTGCCTGCCCAACTGGAAGGGGTATGAGGAAAGGATACCCCCACCTGTTTGGGGTCACCTCTGGAACCTCTCTCCAGGGCCAAGGGGTCCTCATGGGGTATAGGGGCCAGACAATGTCTATGGCTTTGGGGTGCCTAGAAGCCTAAAGCCAAGCTCCAAAGGATACACAAGGTATTTGGGTTTGTGACGTTTAGGGGTGCATCTGCTCTCTCCTGGGTACCCCATTTCACTGTCCTCTCGGTGCCCAGCTATAGAAGGATTTTGGATGTGGGTCTAGCAGCACAGCGCAGCAGCACAGCCCAGCACAGCAGCACAGCAGCACAGCCACCCAGCCCAGCCCAGCACGGCCCAGGCCAGCACAGCCCCACAGCACAGAACAGCACAGCAACCCAGCACAGCACAGCCCCACAGCCCAGCACAGCCCCCCAGCACAGCACAGCCCAGCACAGCACAGCCCCACAGCCCAGCACAGCCCCCCAGCACAGCACAGCCCAGCACAGCACAGCCCACAGCCCAGCACAGCCAGCCCAGCCCAGCAGCACAGCACTGCTAAGCACAGCAGCACAGCCCAGCCCAGCAGGTATCTTGGCTCTCTTAACCACTTAAGCAAGGAGACTGGCGGATGCTGGTAGGCTAGGGAAGCCCCTGCTTACTGGGCCTGTAAAGTAATCCAAGGTCCCCGGAGACAAAGGGGACATAGAAGGGAGGGGGAGCTTCTGGGAACCCCCCAGTCCCATGTAGGACCCAAATCATGCTTCCCACCTCCATGTGTCCCCCGTTTAATTGTCCTTCAGTGGCTAGGGTCCTGAACACTGGGCTTTTAGGCTCAGAAGCCATCCTGCCACCACGTCCTCAGGGTCTGGCACAAAGAGTACTTCAGATCTTAACACAACAGCAGGGACAGCTTTGACAGGGAGGCTGCCTTGTGCCCAAGGGGACAGGGGGTGGGCAACAGTGAGACCCTGCAGCATGGCTGTGGACTTGAAGTTCACACCCACACAGGGCCAGGCAGGGACCCAGAGCCTCTCACAGGTGGCCGAATGGGACAGTGGTGAAAGCAAGGTAGTTTATAGCCAAGAAGCATCTACCTGCAATTGCTGTGAGGACAGCCTCAGGTGTGGGCCACTCGCCTCCAGCAGGGGCCAAGGGAGGGCAAGGCAAAGGGACGAGGAGGAGGAGAGTCAGGGGCCGGGTCTAAAAGGGAATTTCTGCATTGTTTTCGGCCGTCCAGGTGCCTGTGGGTTTCCCAAACTTCTCTGCTTCTTCCTGTGTCAGTTTTTTCCAGACTCAGTCATCCTTCACTGGACCAGTCCACTGCCTGGTGACCCTTGGTGAGGGGCCAGCTCTCTGGAGTGGGAGACAGTGGGCAGCTGCTCTCCCTGGTCTGGGCTCCCTCAGAGGAGCCTCTCCAGGCAGCACTGGGCAGGCAAGGTGTGAAGGACTGGGTCCCGGTCACTCAGTTTTCAGTGTTGCTCCCACTTGTGTCCTCTCCAAGCTCTCTCTACCCTGACCCCCACATTCCCCAAAGTCCTCAGGCCACACTGCTGTCGCTCTCTGCAACTTCTCACTTCTGCCTGTGTCCCAAGTGCAGATTCCAGGAGAGCTGCCTGACACAGCTCTCAGTCTGGTCGGGGGTGGGGACGGTGGTGGTCCCTGTTTGTTTGTTCAGAAGCCCCGGTGCTTACCCCACTCCTGACCCATTTCTCCTGGATGTGGAATCAACTGCCGACACCTCAAGCTCCCTTCTCAGGGCCACATGACGCCCCATGCAGCCATGGGGGAGGCAGGGACCAGCTTCAGTGGGGAAACCAAAGCTCCAGGCCTTCTGGACACTCAAGAGGCAGCATCCCCACCACCATGTACTGAGGGTCATTTCCAAAGACCCTGGATCTAGCTGCCCCCCCTTCCTGCAAAGCCAAGGGCCCTGGACCCCCATCTGGAGAGCAACCTCAGGTGCTGAAGAAATACCCAGCTGACTGACCAGGGCCCAGGGTGGACAGAAGAGGTCAGAGATGAGTGTGAGAATTTAATGAAGAGATGGCTCTGCTCCAATCAGACTGTGTTCCCAGACTTGTGGGGATGAGGGGACATCTGGGGACAGATGGTGAAGAGAGCCCCATGCCCTGGTGGGCTCCAGTCCCTGGATCATGCTGGACCATGGACCCCAAGGAGGAAGGTGAGGCGTGTCTTGCCATAGGGTCTCGTGGACAGGCCTCTTGTTGGTCAGCTCCGCTTCACCTCTGCAGTGCAGACCATGGTCAGCAGGCAGGCAGACCCTCCTTCACCCTGTCCCCCAGAGGACCCCTCAGCAGATCCCTTACCATTCAAGATGTGGAACTGGTCTGCGGACTCACAGAAACCTGGGGACCCAAGGAAGGGTCAGGGGAGTGGGCAGGCTCCCCTAGTGGCCAGGCCCTCCCCTGGGGAGCAGCAGGGACAGCCGACCGTCGGATGGATAGTGGACTCACCATATTTGGGGAAGAAAATTATGTGGCTGTCGGTCATGTTAGCGGCCTGGACCCGCTGTTCAAATGTGTCCAGAGTAGAGTCACTCACGGGGATGGAGCGGGCTGCAGCGACAGCAGGGACACTGTGCAGACCCAGCTTCACGGGCTGGGCAGTGCCCTGGCTACCATCTCTGCCCCTCCACCCTCCACCTAGGCCTCAGGAGTGGGCTGGGGGATGGGTTTGGGGAGTGGGATCATGGTGTCAGGATCTGGGTGCAGGGTCAGGACATCAAGGTTGAAGTATCATCAGGGTACTGGGTGCCAAGCTTGGAGTACTAGGGACAAGTACTGGGGTGTCCAGGAGCCTGGGTATGAGCCTGGATTAGGCACAAGGGTAAGGAGGGCATGATGTCCACATGGCAGGTGTGTCCAGGCACCCTCCCTGTGGTCGTGGGTGTGAACAGCCCCAGGCTGTCCTGTGGAGGGTGTCACCTAGTCTGGGAGGCCCAGAGGCTGCACGCACCGTACAGCTTCACCGAGAGCTGTCGTGCCTGCTCCAGGTACAAGATGGCGAAGTCCTGGTAGTCTGTCTCTCCAACAACCACATCCACAGGGCCCTTAGCGCCACGGGCTAGGGACAGAGCCACATCAGCACTAGCCCCCACCTGGCCCCCACCACCCACCTCTGTGGCCAGCCCCACCTTGGAGCAGGAAGCGTCCAGGGACTCCAGTGCGTTTGTAGAGTTGCTTCACCTGCCAACAGATCCCGTCCCTGGGTGAATGCAACAGAGGGAAGGCTGGGCAGCGCCATTGTTGACCGCTAGTCCAGGCCACAGGCGAGGGAGGGAGGGATCAGGACCTGGGAGTGGGTTCAGGAGCTGGGCCTGGAGCTTGAAGCAGGGGTTGGGAGCCGAGACCAGGATGGAGATCTTGGCTGGGGACGAGAGCCCGGAGCCCTGGATCAGGGAGCCTGAAGGGGGTCGGGAAACCGGGCGGGCACTCACAGCATTCGGAGGGTGCTGACGGCCATGTCTGCATCCTGGGGCGAAGTGTCCAGCCTCGTGGCCTCCGTCCGGTGGCTTTCTTCTTGCAGAAAGCGACACTTGGAGGCCACAGCCACGAGGAACCATGTCCCTGCAAACTGAGGCCAGGGTGTGTGAGGGTGACCTGTGGACCAAAGAGCCGGCCGCCTAGGTCCAGCCCCGCTGCCCCGTGGCTACCTGCTCGGTACTGAAGTCAGCTTTGGGGCGGATAGTACTGATGGCCGATGGTGGTTGAGGGCGTCTTCGAGGCCTCTGGCCCAGTGAGAGGGGGGTGAGGAGCAAGGCCAAGAGGAGGGTGGACCTGAGGGGCAGCATGGTGGTGGCAGCCACAGCGGAGCCGGGACTTGCCACGTCGGGGTCAGAGTACACAAGCTGCCCACAAGCCCCGACTGGGGGAGGGGTCAGACCAAGGGACAATGACAGGTCCGGGCCGCCCTCCGCCTACGCACTGCCCCACGCAGGGCAGGGTTCCCCGGTCTCCGTGCCGCCCTGGACATTTGGCCCTGATCGTGTGCTTCCTGGCGGTGACAGCCGCCCATTTTCTGCCTGCAAAGCCCTGCTGACCTCTGGCCCTTAGAAACACCCAGACCCTCGGCTTCCCACACGTGTCTCTTAGAGGCCAGTAAGCCTGACGGGAGGCACTGGTCTCCTCCTGGCGAGGTCCCCGGGCCAGCGCCCAGCCTGCCCACCACGCCGGTGCGCGCCGTCCTCCCGCCCGCCAGGGGCGCTGTGGCGAAGGGGCCGCAGCGCGCAGGCGCACAGCGCGCAGACGCGGCTCGGCGCTCCGCGCATCGATGTCTCTGGGCTCGTGCCGTCGAGCCTCGGAGTCCCCGCTCGGTGGCCGCGGCCGGAAGTGGGCGCCCAGCGGGGCTGCAGGCGGCGGGAGGCGGCCGCGGTGAGTTCGCGGAGAGGCCGCCGGTGCGGGGCCGTTGAGGGGTGCGGGCAGGTGCGGAGGGGCCGCCCCGCACCCCAGCCTGGGCCGGCTCGGGCCCTGGGCGGAGCGGTTCGCGAGGGGCAGGTCGCCCGTGGGGCAGTTCCGGGGGTCAGTTCCCGGGCGGGGGGCAGCGCACTAGGGGGTTGAGTGCTGGCCGCCCGCGCTCCCAGCCCGTCTGGCTTTCAGAGCCGTGGGGACAATGTCACGATGGACGAGGGGGGCACGCCCCTGCTCCCCGACAGCCTGGTCTACCACATCTTCCTGAGCCTGGGCCCCGCCGACGTGCTGGCCGCCGGCCTGGTGTGCCGCCAGTGGCAGGCCGTGTCCAGGGACGAGTTCTTGTGGCGGGAGCAGTTCTACCGCTACTACCAGGTGGCCCGCGATGTGCCCCGACACCCAGGTCAGCGGCGCCCCGGGCGGGGAGGGGAGGAGGCCCCATGGCCGCCCGTGACCGCCCGCGACCGCCCGCAGCCGCCACGTCCTGGTATGAGGAGTTCCGGCGGCTCTACGACGCGGTGCCCTGCGTGGAGGTGCAGACGCTGCGGGAGCACGCAGACCAGGTCCTGCACCTGAGCTTCTCCCACTCGGGGGCTCAATTTGCGTCCTGCTCCAAGGACTGCACTGTGAAGGTGAGGCTGGGCCCGGGGCGCGTGGGCTGGGTGCAGGGTGGTGGGTGAAGGGGTGCAGGGCGCAGGGCGCAGGGAGGTGGGGCAGGGCGGTGGGCGCAGGGCGCAGGGTAGTGAAGCGGGCTGGTGGGTGCAGGGGCGCAGGGTGCAGGGCGGTGGGTGCAGGGGTGGTGGGTGTGGGGCAGTGGTTGCAGGGGTGGTGGGTGTGGGGCGGTGGGTGCGGGCTGGTGGGCGCAGGGGCGCACAGTGAGGGCTGGTGGGTGCGGGCCGGTGGGTGCAGGGCGCGTGGGGCACGGGGTGCAGGGCGCGAGGTGCACAGCAGTGACCGGCCCCCTGTGCAGATCTGGAGCAACGAGCTGGTGATCACACTGCTGCACAGCACGGACATGCGGCCTTACAACTGGAGCTACACGCAGTTCTCCCAGTTCAACGTGGATGATTCACTGCTGCTGGTGTCTGGCGTCTTCCTGGGCCCTCACAACTCCTCGTCGGGAGAGATTGCTGTCATCAGCCTGGGTGAGGGCCGCACTGTCCCCGCTGCCCTCGCCCCGCTGGTGCCGCACCCTGACCGTTCCCTCCCGCAGACACCTTCACCCTCCTGTCACGTGTGCGGAACAAGCCCTACGACGTGTTTGGGTGCTGGCTCACAGAGACCAGCCTCATCTCAGGGAACCTGCACCGGATTGGGGACATCACCTCCTGCTCTGTGCTTTGGCTTAACAATGCCTTCCAGGTGTGGCTGGGGGTCAGGTGGAGGAGGGGCAGGCAGAGAGGCACACATGGGCAGAACGTGGGCATGGCTGGGAGGGTGGTGGAGGGCACAGGTAGAGGAGAGGGCAGGTAGAAACCTAGGGGGGAAGCCTAGGAGGTGAGAGGGTTAGGGTGGCAGGTGGGGACCTGGGGGGAGAAGGAGAGGAGGAGGGGCAGACAGTATAGGTGCCTGGAGAGTGGTAGAAAGGGCAAGACAGGGCGGGGAGGTCAGCTCAGGAGGAGGGCCTGCCTCCACCCTGGGTGCCCACCAGCCTGGCCCCAGCAGGACGTGGAGTCGGAGAACGTGAACGTGGTGAAGCGGCTCTTCAAGATCCAGAACGTCAATGCCAGCACCATCCGCACCGTCATGGTGGCGGACTGCAGTCGCTTTGACAGCCCCGACCTGCTCCTGAATGCGGGCGCTCCCGCCATGTCCCCCTGCCGTGTCTTTGACCTTGGCGGTGGTGGCTACAGTGAGGATGAGGCCCCAGCCCCAGGCCGCGCCACGGAGGGCCTGCGGCGCTTCCTGGACAACATCCTGGAGGGGCGGGTGCAGCCCCCACTCTCGGAGAGCATGCTTGAGACGCGGGTGGCCGAGCTGCTGGCCCGCAGATGCACGAAGCCCCCTGAGCCAGCGCTTGGTGACAGGAGAAAGTATCTCATCTTCACCACAGGCTGCCTCACCTACTCGCCACACCAGATTGGTAATGGGGGCCCCATGTGGGCGGCTGGGCCAGGATGGCCTCCTACTCTGTGGGCCCAGGCTCCCACGAGTGGCCCCAACTCCCAGGCCTGCAGGGCCTGGTCCCCAGGAATGCGATCTGTCCAGGGGCCTGGAAGGGGCCGAGTGAGCTGGGAGCCTGGCCACGGACTGGTAGTGACCTGCCCCCACACTCGCAGGCATCAAGCAGATCCTGCCACACCAGATGACCACTGCAGGGCCGGTGCTGGGAGAGGAGCGGGGAGCAGATGAGTTCTTTGACTCTCTGGATCACGTCATTGATGTGCATGGCCACGTCATTGGAATGGGCCTGTCACCTGACCACAGGTGGGTCCTGGAGGTGGTGGGGTCGGGCGGGCTGGCCGCGGTCCTAGCTACGTGTCCCTGGCCAGGTACCTGTACGTGAACAGTCGCTCATGGCCCAGTGGTGCGGTGGTGGCTGACCCCATGCAGCCGCCGCCCATCGCAGAGGAGATTGACCTGCACGTGTTTGACCTCAAAACCATGAGTGAAGTGAAGCGGGCCCTACGTGCTCACCGCGCCTACACGCCCAACGACGAGTGCTTCTTCATCTTTCTGGATGTCAGCAGGGACTTCGTGGCCAGGTGCACATGCCAGAGAGGGCAGGCTGGAGCAGGGGCTTGAGGAGAGGGCTGGGAGGGGTAACAGGCAAGAGGGGGCGGGAGAGGGAAGGGGCGCACCTGGGGCTCAGCTGGCTGTGTCCACAGTGGCGCCGAGGACCGGCATGGCTACATCTGGGACCGTCACTATAACATCTGCCTGGCCAAGCTGCGGCACAAAGATGTGGTCAACTCCGTGGCCTTCAGCCCCCGGGAGCAGGAGCTCTTGTTGACGGCCAGCGACGATGCCACTATCAAAGCCTGGCGCTCCCCTCGCACAGTGCGCGCCCTCCAGGCCCCCCGCCCCCGACGCCCCTTCTTTTCCTGGTTTCCTTGCCAGAGGCGCTGAGCGGGTTAGACAGAGTGGCCTGACCCACTGAGGAAACTGCTGCCCTGGGCAAGCTGGGGCAGAGCTGGGCAGCCACTCTGTCCAAGGGAGGGTCTGGTCAGCTTAAGGGGTCCTCTGGCACTTGGGTGACCTGACCCTATCTATGGCACAGCATCTCACTGGTGTGACACATGGCACTTGGCCTCCATTATGCTACAGACCTCACATTAGCTGCCTTCTGGCCCTTTGGTATACAGGACAGGCCACTCCTCTGGTCTCAAGGACACATAGCCCAAGCAGGTGGCCCTCAGCTTGATCTGGCCCCATGTGTGGCTCCATGCAGCCAACAAGCCCTCTGCTGGTCCATGTTGCCAGCTCACTGGGCAGCAGCAGCACTTTACCGGATCAAATGCCCACCGCCGCCCTCTGACCACCCCGCTTGGCCAGCCACCAGGGACAGAGCGGGTTAGTGTACCGCCTGGGGCTGGTTCATCACACTGGAGTGTACTGCATGTCCACCTAGACGCTTGTCACCTGTCCTGAATAAACAGCTGGCAGCGCCACCCAACCTAGTCTCTGTGCCATGTCTGTGAGGTGGGGGAGGCCCCAGGCCAGACCCAGCCTCATGGTCCCAGCCAGCACAGGAGGCAGAGACCAGACCAGACCCAGCCTCTCAGTCCCACCCGGCAAAGGGCCAGAGACCTAGGCCCCAGTGGAGGTGCTGGGGTCAAGCAAGCTGGTGAGACTGTCGGCAGCTGCCAGTTGTGTGGCCTCTGCAGGGGGAAGGGGGACAAGCCCTTGAGCACATACTGTCCCTGAGGGGAAAGAAAAACTGCTGAAAATGATGACTACAGGTTGATGAAAAATGACACCTCAAAGGAACCAAAAGTGACAGGCTGAATAGAAGCCGGAAGGAGGAGTCAGAACTGAAACGAAGCCGGAGAGCCTGACAGGCTCACCCTGTAAGTTTTCCAGGAGGGGCGGTATAGGGGGCCTGGTGTGAGAGGACAAAGGGATAAATCACAGGAAATGAGGAATGACCTTGAGTGCTTCGCATGGGCCGAGGATGGACTGATGTCAGGAAGGTGGTGAGGCTCTGGCAGTCCGTGGGATGAGGAAGTGTGCTGGTTAAAAAGGACAGCAGCCAACAAGTGGGGCTGCTCAGGCCTGTATTAGGAGGGGGGTGTCCGCTGGAGACTGGGAATGAGGCAGACTTGTCCACTCTTGTTACCCCATCTGACAGGAGATGTCCGGGCGGGAGGCGGGGAGGGACAAGGACGAGGAAAGACAAAGGCGCACAAGCAGGAATGGGATTAAAGTATCCACTGATGACAAGATTGTCTTCAAAGGAACTCCCCAAAAGTACAGAGAAATCCTTTCCTAGAACCAGTGAGTGAGTATCACTCAACATATGGATAGAAAACTCAGGTCTTTTTAAATACTAACTATGGCTGACTCTGAAAAGAATGGGAATCCCAGAACACTTGATCGTTCTAATGTGAAACCTATACTTGGACCAGGCAGGAGGCAGTCGTCAGAACA